TGTGTGTGTATGTGTGTGTGTATGTGTGTGTGTATGTGAGTGTGTATGTGTGAGTGTGTATGTGTGAGTGTGTATGTGTGTGTGTGATATTCATGAAATCATGCTTCATAAGCCAAATACCAAATCATTCTTGACATGCATCATAACGTGTATGAATGTCATGCCTAGTATCTCACCTTGTATAGTCTATATGCGACAAGCATAAATGATAATCGAAATAATCAATACATCAGTAATCCCATTAAAGCTACGTTAACTAAATGAATTCTTTGTAAGCATATCTCGGGATATTTCCTTACCTTTATAGTAGATCAATAATACTTCCTCTTCCAAACAAACAATTCTTTCATAATTCAAACAAAAGATTCCTCTGATAAATATAGACATATTACAAAAGCACTCAACATCTAAAACCATCAAACTCTAAGACCGATATCTCTCAGATCTCCCGAAACAATTCCATGTAATGTTCACATGAATGAAAAGAAAGGAAGAGTTGTATCGAGAGATAAACGCACCGTTCATCCCACTCAATCTTCCTTTTTCTTTCTTCTTCTCTTCCCCATCCCATCTAAGTCAGACATTATTACCTTAAATTTGCATAATAGTTATCTCGAACTTACGTGACACATTACTATACCCACATATTCCATATCAAATCACTCACTCACATACACAAATTCCCAAAATCTCTCTTCCCCTTTCAAACCTGTTAATAAGTGACGTACGCTACACATCGGTCTCTTCAAGCCATTCCTCAAACGTAAATCCCAGTATAATGTGACGTATGCTTCTAATCACACGTAACGTGAACATTAGAAACACGTTGTATATTATTTTAATTCCTTTTCATGCTTTAATCGAACAGAATAAACAGAAAGAGCTGTATTATCTTCATCAATTGTTGATTTTTTTTTGATTGAAAAGTGTAAATGAAATGATTACAGGCCATTTTGACATTTTGTTTTGATTATTGAAAGGGAGAGGGAAATGGAAAAGATGCGAATTCGATTTCATTTATTGACATATCACTTTTTTCAAAGTAAAAAAAATTCTCTTTGCAATTTTTGTTTTTTTTCCTCGCACAAAATGTACAATTATGGAATTGTATCCACCACAGCAAATTGTTTTATTTTGAAGGTATCGTCAACGTTTTCAACGTGGAGTTTTTGAACTTTGAACCATTTTGCTTTGTTTACAAATAGCTTGTCTGAATGTAAACAATTTGTCTGTAAGTTAATTGATTTTACGTGCATTACAGCAACAAAACAGTTACTATTACTTGTTAGACTGTAATGATTAGGAAATACTTGAAGAGTGAGGCAGAAAAGGAAAGAGAATGATTTGAAGAAATTGAAGCATATAAATAATTCAATTGAACTATTAATTACTTTAAATGTAATGTCGATTGATATATTCATCAGAAAATTTGAAGCAGTGAGAAATAATCCCAAATTTAAATTAATAATTATCAGTAATAAACTGATAACTTTCCTTATGAAATCAATTTTCAAAAAATTGCCATGAGGAATTTGCTAGACAGTGAAAAACATTTATTAATAATTTACAATATTCTCTGTTTATATATTTATAGAAATATTTGGTTAAAAGGGTCAAACTTGAATTGGAAAATCCTTTTTTTAATAATTCATTATTAGCAGAATCTTTTTTTTCTTTTAGATTTTATTTGATATAATAATTATGCTAATGGAGGTAATGCGCTTCTCTGATACTTCAACATTGTCATCCAACAAAACATCCGCTATCTTTCAAACCTTTTACTTTCAATGTGCCCTCATTGTTTACCCTGAAAAAAAATATAGCAGCAAAGTAAGTATTAGGCTTATTCTTGATATTGTTCTCAAAAAGTTATAAAATTACAAATCATTTAATTTATTTTATCAAAATGAAAAACGTTTAATTGTGATAACAAGATGTCATGATTCCCACGAGCTTTCTGATCTTCTGCTACATTACAAAGGACGAAAAAGCAAACATACATTTCAAATGGCAGGGGAAAACTAAAGAAAAAAAATGCTACAAAAGTTTTTCTAATAAGCCGAGAATTAGTTGCTGAAATTCCAATATTTCTATCGTTTTGATTTAAAATTGAAATTTATGTTACCGAAGAAAGATATGATCCCTTCTCAAATATTAATGGGAAGAACAACTGACAGTTGCATAAGTAAAAGAATGAGGAAATTGGAAAAGTATGTTTACATTTTTCAAGAATTTAAATAGGTCACTAATAGCTTACAAAATTGCCGCTAAGCTCAAGTCTAATATAATACAAAATTGCACGTTTCTTATTTCTCAAAATAGCACGAAAAAGTTTTTCGACAATTTCTCTAAAATCATTTATATAACTGTTGATTCATTTTTATTGATATTAAGTTTTCAGAAATTACCGCAGGTTAGATGGTGAACATTGCATATTACAAAACATGCATGCCGTCGACTGAGAGATTGTTTTGTAATGAATATTTACTCTTCACCTTTTTTTTCTTGAAATTTGTTTACCCAAAAATGCCTTAAAGTAATTTTATCACATATTATACAATTGAGAAAATAGAAATAGAAATTAGTGGATTAGAAAATTTTGGCATACTCCAAAAAAAAGAGAAAAGAATTATTGAAAATTCAAAATATACTAAAATCTAAGTTTCAAAATGTCTTGAAATTTATTTGAAAAGCAATTAAAAACAACAGTATATGACATTCCATAATTGCATAATTTAATTCGTTTTTTTCTCTTTAATTCTTTCTATTACTCGAAAGCATTTACTTCACATTTGCTAGCAAAAGAAAGTGATAATTAATCATTGATTTGAATATCGTTTAATTTACATTTTTTAAAAATACCGGTTAATTTACATTGTCACATCCATCTCTTGTCCTTATATGTTTCAAATTTATTTTTACAATCGGTTTTGTTGAACCAATATTTGTGTTATGTCTCAACTTATTTTCCATAAATTTTACATATCAAGTATGAAGGGAAAATTTCATTCGGTTATGAAACAATTGGATTGCTTTTAAAGTTTCGAATTTAAAATTAACAATTTACATTCAAGCATATCATCACTCGTCCTCAAATTTTATTTTCACAATTTGCTTTGCTGATGTACGTATGTACGTCAAGTACAGAGAATAATATTAGTTACTCGATTATGCTATTCCAACTTTTCATTTTCATAACTGTAAGAAATGCCGATAAGTCGAAAATGAAATGACGTACATTTTCTAGCTCGAAATTCACAACTAAATTTTGTGATAAAACGGTTTTTTTTATTTAAGTTTCTCTCCATTTTAATTAATTTTCTAAGTATACAAACATTTTAGTAATCCATTTTTTCAAAACTATTCGCACAATATTGAATAATTAATTAAACAAATTACACAACTTCTGTGATTAAACAGTAAATCGAAATAACATACGACACGGTTAGGGATAAAATATGATAAAAAATGATCTTTTGCACCCTCAATCCTAAAACTTCCATTAAAGCTTTTACATACTATCTGTTACATGCTCTAAGTAACATAACGTGAAACGTCGGATTACCTTCACCTTCAACTCCCGTGATAAAAACGTCTTATAAACCAATCATTTTTATTTAGAAAATTTGCGATGCGCTTTAACAAACTCCGCTCCTCTAAGAAAAAAAGCAAGTGATGGATAGTTATGAGCGCATTCAAAGTTTATTTGAAATAAGAAGACTGGAAAAAACTGGGAAAAGTGAACAAATTTTTACAATAAAACGATATAGTTCGTAATTTCAATAATTTTATGATGTTTTAAATTTCAAATTATTTGGCTGACAGTAATCATCTCAATAATCTTTCAAAAAAATTAAGAATTTTTTATTGGTGAGTCAAACTGAAATGAGTTCCATATGTTTTTAAACTTAACCATTTAACAATGAGCTTGAATGGATTTCCCCATTTGCTTAGAAATTTCGTTTCTATAAAAATCAATTTTTTCAGTCAAAAGTTCGGTCTTGTTTTGAATACTTGAAACTAAAATTCAAATTTAAACTTCTTTACTGAAAACATACACATAACAACTGGAAAATTCATCGGATTCTGCTTTTACAGTGAAAACTATTACCGATATTAAAAAAAAAAGAAACAAGTTAGCAAGAAGAAAGAGAATAAACGAATTGTTGGAATGTAAATGAATAACCGTATTATTAAATTATTTCAATAATAAACTGTATGAGCAAATAATAAAATCCTTAATTGGAAATTTTAAAAAACTGTTAGATTTATTAATATATTTGAAGATTAGTTTTTCATTTAATTCATTTTCTGTCAACTAAATCTTTTAAATGAATCGACTTTTTTTTGTATTCTTGCAAAAATTGTGGATTGTTGATATTTGGAATATTTTTTAGGAAATAAGCAGAGACACAAAGAAAAATTGTGATAGAAGAAGAGAAATAATTAAATATTGTTTTAGCCAGAGAAATTAAAAGAGGAATGGATTAAATTATTTTACATATAATCAAAGAAATTAAAATCAATTCATTTTCATCACCTTCTCATCAAATTTCACTTATAATTAAAGAGAAGATATAATTTCTTTCATTCTTTTTTTTTCACAGTATTCACTCAAAATATTGTTGAAGCAATTTTTTAGCGTAATTTCTCTTTTATCGGAAGTGTTGATGCATGAACCGTAATGGACAGTATGTTGTGGATCAGCGGTACCGTGCTTTTTTGTACAGTGTTCAATGACGGTTGTTTCACCAAACAATACGATACCACACTCTTTGCATCTGTAAAATATTTCTCTCGTCATTGTATGATATTTTAGCCACAAAGCTGATTTAAACAGAAGGCTTAGCAGAGTGATAGGAAGGCTTGATTACCTTTATTTCATTATTCAGGTATTTTAGTTACGCATTATCACTATTTTAATATTTTGTGAGAAAGAAACCGAGAAATTAGAAAAAAGAATGAACTTAACTTTTTATTAGAGATGAATATTGAAATGTTGTGAAACATTAAATAAATTTCAAGTGATGGCATGAAATAAACCTATAATGAAGATGTGCTTGAGCATGACGCATTAACGACTTCTTTCGTGTTGAAATTTTTCTTCCACAAATTATACACGTCAATTTTGTCAACGATTTCTCCTTTGCAATCGCACATATCTTATCAATTAACTAAAAGCAAGTGGATTTTCATGATGAAGCTAGAAAAAAAGAAAGAATTTTTTTCACCTCTAAGTTATCTAATTGCTTTTCGATTTATTTGACTGTTTAATTTACACCAATGAAAACGATTTTGTTAATGGTATTATTTCACTATCATTGACAAATCATTTGCTATAATTAGCATTACCAACAATGATTACAACTGTTACTTTTATGATAAAGTTACAACATTACTGTCATTATAGTCACTATTGCTCCTATAAAATTGTGTTAATTTGGCAAAAAGAAATTCTGTTTGATAATATTACAATAAAATTTAATAGATCGGGTAATTAAATACCACTGGGTGAAGAAACACACACACATATATTGAATTGATTGATTTTCTTGTAATAAATTGGACGAATCAAAAAAACGAACGTGAGAATATGCAGCCTTTGCTTTGGTAATATTCCGCGGGAAGCATGTTCGCAATAAAGATATTAGCTGAGCCATATTTCGTCGATTCTCATAAGTTATTGATGGATCCTACAATGCTGTATGATTATCTGCTGAAGTGTGAATATTCCCATTTAATCATACTTTATTTCCATTACTCAAATTGACCTGTGCATTTTTATGAAAGCACTATAAGTTATTCCAGCTCGAAAAATAAAAATTTCAGATTTTCAAAATTTTTTTTGTAGTTGACCTTATTGGGATGTCCTTGTCTGATGTGAGCATACATTCGTTCTAGCTGACATTCACTAGCGCCACACATTTTGCAACGATATGGCATAACTTCAGCATGTCCATACAAATGAATTAGTATTAATGAATCCGAGTTTTGTACTTTTTGTTCACACATCTGACAGATCAATAGGTCTTCTCTCGCATAACTGAAGAAAAGATCGATCGAACGATAAATTTCTCTCAAATGATAAATTTTTAACTTGCTTAAGGAGATAAAATATTTTTCACAATCAATCGTAAATTGAACGATAATTTCTTCTTTTAAATAATATTAATACCTCATTCGGATTGTTTTAACTTTCCGGTAGAATTCGATCAATGCTTTCTTCTGCTCTTTAGTATCCAACTTCTCATCTACACTTTCAACATCCACATATTGTAAGTCTTCACCATCTTCATTCTTACAATTGTCGCTATGGTGATTTTTGACACTGCTACTATCATCACATTTAACATTTTTTCCTTTCCGTTTACCGTAAATATTACTGCGAAGTTCTTCGATGTTTTCCTGCGACTGTTCCATTCTTTTGAAGATTGACATTCTGACGGAGTCATCTGTAAATTAAAATTACTCAACAAATTTGATCATATCATGATACGAAGTATTGTAGACGAAGATTTTTATGCTCCAAAAATTCAAGAAGTATTGGAGTGGAAATTTATTCAAATAATATCTCAGTGCTAATAATTAATTATAAAATTTGATTATCAATTTTACTCTTGAATTTTCTTGTACTTATTAATAAGCTCAAATTACCTAGGAGAAATCAAATTTTTGAAATCAGGCTATAATTGTTACATGTTTCTTGTTAGGATGATTCGTTTTTAATTAGAAAATTCGTTTTTAATCTTGAGAACATTTAACAAATATTTCATAAAAACGGACTAGAAGAGCAACAGGGTGTAGATTCCGGATCTTTCTGTTCGATCACAATTACTTTAGCTCGTTTGATCGCTGTCATTTGATTGCTTTCCATTGCTTGTAAAGATTGTTGCGAAATTCGGCGTTTCATGAACGGCGATACCGATGGAACGTGCTGATGCAATCCGTGCTGTGTTGTTAGCCGTGGTAATTGCATTTCGTGATGTCGGATGAGATTCTGCCATGTTTGTTTGGTAGAATCTGCTATTTTTTTTAATTCGTCCACAACCAAAAAACTTGCCAATTCATCAAATTGTGCTTCCTCAACGGACGGTATATTCAATAATGACATCGTTAAGGGTGTAATTGCTGGAAGATAATTTGTGTTCATAATTGAATTAAATCCCGATAAAATTGATTGTCTATTACAGGTAGAAGTTGACCAGATAGGAGGAACATTCAAATTGTGCATGAAATTTGAATATGTCGTTCCATTCCGTTGCATGGCAAGTAACTGAAACCAAGAATTGTTAACCATTGATGATTCCGGATTTAAAATTTGCTGTTGCAAATGTTCCACTGTTGTCTGATATCTTTTTAGTTCCAGGGATTTCTGCTCAGGTTGTTGTAGAATTTGAGCAAGTAGTCGTTGTTGTAGTGGATCCATTATATTTGAGTTTTAGAGTTACTGAATAAATGAATGGATTGTTTGTTTAAGGATTTTAGTATCAGCAATACTATCACTTGACTGTGTTGAAATGAAGTTTCGACACCTTCTACTGTTCGAGAAATATCTATTACTGTAATAGTTCTCGCTCACTTGCAAATTACCTTCGTTTCCAATGAATTGCACCAAATATTTGGATGCTTCTGTGATAGCTCGCAACAACTATCTGAAAAGATTACGGTTCAAAAATCTTCACATCTCTTTTTGTATCACTTTTAAATTCCTATGACAGATATCAACAGTTGAATACTAAAATTAAATAGTTAAAGAACTTTTCGACTCGATAAATTTATCAAACATGGAGGATAATGAGTGAAATGAAGCAATTCAACAATAAATTTTTTAGACACTAACTTGACCGACTTGCTCAATTTATATTTATAGAATATTGATCATTTCAAAACAGTTTTCATATGTTGAATTGAGATAATTTACTATTTATTAAAAAAAAAAATCCCAAGATTTAAGCAAGGAAAATAAAAAAACAAATTTAATAAATTGATTAGTTAAAAATTGCATATACTTTCGATTTTTAGTTTAAATATTAATATTGGGAATGCAACAAATTAACCCATACAGCCTGAAGCGAAAAATGGATGTGAAAAGCCGCTTGATAGGAAATATTAGGAAAAAAGGTGCAAAATGGATCTGTGTTACACTTTTCATTCCTGCATATGTAAATGCTTGACTTCATGTTGAGAATCACAGGTACACATTCAACAGCTGTATAAACCTTTTTAAAATAGCTGTCATTTTTAGCTCAGTTAAAAAGATTTTTCTGTCCAAAAGGTTTTCCTCCATGGGTTGAAAGGGAATGATCTCCACCACAAATGTAATGAAAAATTGATAATACTAAGCAAAGCGCTTTGTCATACAGCTATCAGAAATCTTATTATAATTGAACTGAATTTAGATAGATATATCTCATTTAGATAGATGAATTTCCAGTCATTTAAAATTGTTTCTAAAATTTTCAAACAACTATTGAAAATATTCCATTTTCATCTGCTTTTTTCCATTTTTCATCCAAAAAAAAATGTTTCAAAATTTTTAATCTTTTAATTCATATGAATTTTTCACCGATCGGTGGACTAAGTTGTTTGGAGATATTTTTAACCAATAATACTAAAGTTATCTTGAATACTTTTACTAGTGCCTAGCAGTGTTGGAAATCCGAAATTAATCCATAATACAAAATTACCAAATTAAATTCATGAGAAGTATTCCTCAGTAAAACATGTAAATTTATTGATAATTAAGCTGAGGGAGCTGCATTTCACAATTTTCTCTTCGTTAAATTTAATTTCATTGTGTTGTTATAATTCATTAAGAGACTGCTTTATAATGCCCTTGTCCTTTAAATGTTCTTTGTCATTGTGTGAAACCAATGTAGCTAACAAGTAATTTAACAATGCCCTTTGTCCTCTGTGCTTCTTCCTTCCCCAGCATGACACTCTCCGACCCCGGGGTCATCTATTAAGCCTATCATCTACTATCCCGGTACCGCCCTACATTGGTATATAAACAGTCAAATATAGCAGAAGCCGATTTCTCTTTCTTGCAACTGTCATCAAACCAACTGCTATTCTTCATCATTTCACCACATCAAAGTTGACAATGTCTGGAACAAGCATTCTAGACCAAGACCCAAATAACGGATCCAAACCCAATCCATCAGATCATGACCTAATAAAACGATCAATTCCCATCTCAGGGAAATGCAACTAACCGCATAACGTCAACCCAAAGTAAAATCTCTCCATCAAGAAACCTTCATCAACAGATTCAATTGTGCCACACAGCTACAAAGCTCTCCCAAATCAAAT